CGAGAGGATGAGAAGAGAACGAGAGAGAACAGGAGAGGAAGAGATGAGAGAGAGAGAGAGAGATGTTGAGAAGAGAGGTGAGGGAGGGAGATAAGTGAGAGAGAGAGTGAACAGTGTTTGTGTGTCAGCATGTGTCATTTATATGAAAAAAAAGTAATAACAATAATAATAATGATAAAAATAAGTAAAAAGAACAAACAAACATACAATGCAATCATAATGAGGAAATCCTATCAACAGATTACTGTGCAAGTCAAGAACTGTGCCGGACTGCATAAAGGAGAGTGGAGACAGAAGTAGACAGAAGAGCATGGTGGAGATATTGCATTTTACCCTTCTGCTGCACATACACGGGCATAGGACAGATGCTATTGAGTGAACATGTACTGGGAAGAAAAGAAAAGAGAGAAAAGAAAAAGAAAAGGAAACAGGAGAAAAAAAGAAGAAAAAAAGGGGGAACAAGGGAGAGGAGAGATTAAAAAAGAAGAGTAACATACTTTTATATTCTCTTAAAGCACTGAAATAAGTCAGAGGAATGTGGGAGTGTCTTACGAACATTCCACCGAGAGAAAATCTATGGAATCTTGAAGCTCGTCATCAATTTATATGAAGTGGCCATATAAACCTTTACAATCACCAAAGCCAAGTTGGTGCCGAAGGTATTCAAGGGCACCTTCTCACCGAAAAGTCCCTGCAACTCCTCTCTGTCTCTCTGGGGTGAGCGGGGGGAGAACCAGCGTGGGCTGGGGTTGTTCTGCTAGACAGCAGATATCACAATGACAAAGAAAGAAAGCAAATGAAACACTTCCTTGGGTGGACTAAAAATTTAGTTGAAACAATGTATAATATTAAAAACCTAACATCAAATTCATCAGAGGTGGGGGGCTGTGATGGTACATGCATCTGGCTGGAAATAGAGTATAAAGAAAATATATATCTAGCAAAGTGCTAACCATTATGCCCTTAGTGATCTTGTGCAAAAACATAAGACATTTCTTGTTGTGAATAGCTCTCCCCTTTTATTCCTCAAAACAACAGCAAAAAAGTCCAGGAACTCCCACAGCTTCCCCCTCTGATGCAAATACAAAACAGGCATCAACCTATCACAGTTCAGCCACCATCAATATCTCTCAACATTACTTTACTAACATCATGTCTCAGTTCAAGACGAAAAATATTTCTTATTCATTAATAAAACAGATATTGATAAAAGCTTCTCTGCAATGTCTACATGTGATGGATTAACTTAAAATGATTTAAGTTCTTAATCCATACAAAATAAGTGAATGAGACCCATTTGGATCTAAAAATACTAAGGAAGGTCCGACGTACCCCTCGTACCTTGTAACACTGCAGCGAAGTTCGATCCCAAATTTTGATGGTGTTATCTCGAAGACCAGAAACAATTTTCTGTGGGAGGGGAAAAAAGTAGTGTTTTGTATATTCTTCAGTAAGTGACACCATACACTGTTGTCTATTTGATGTTCCTTCAATTTCAAACAATAACAGTAATCTACAAGAAATATAGCATAATGAACAGTTCATAACACTTATAATTATTATCATCAAATATCTTACTTACCTGGTCATCATATTGTAAACAGTAGACACCTTTGGAGTTCTCTGAGCGACAATTTATCCTTTGCAAATTATGTCTACCCATTCTCCAATTATTTTCTATGGTTTGAATATCCTGCAGCAAAGTCAGACAAATTATTAACTGAATGTCAATCTCATAAATCTTATGAAAAATTAAATAAATGTATTAATACTTTATATCACACACTAACACATGCACATAATAATAATTATCAATAGTTATCCACTTACATCACTTAACATATCAATCTAAACTAAGGGGAAGGAATCTAACTTACCTGAATAATTTTAGGATATAACTTTCGATAATAAGAGTGACCAGGATGTTGTTCTCCTGGCCGTGGTTTGAAAAGATACATACCCCTGGGGGAGAGAACAAATGGTAAAGAATATAGTCAACGCATTTGAGTTCTTAAACCTCCATAATAAAACATCTTCAACTTTTAGGAAAGGTCAGAGATTAAAAAAAGGCTTTCACATTTAAAGCCCTCTTTTCTTTTCATTCCATTTGCCGATTTTGATGTAAATAACACACTTATATCTAGACCCTAGTAAGGTCTCTGATATATTCTTTTTAATCGGCCAAACTTTTAACTTAACCAAAGCCTAAATATATAAAACAAATTACAGACATTCTTATTGTTTTTTAAGATTCATCTTAAATCTGCAAAATGTTGCAGATACTTTTGTCAATTTTGGGTTTGTTTATTTTTTCCTGAGGCTAGAGTCCCAGGTGGTGTAAATCTACGGGATAGAACACACACCAACACTCCCGTGAAATACAACTACAGGGAGGTGTAACAGTATGAATATACAATATACATGTATTTACAGATCATTACCGTGTATATCATAAATGTAAATAACTCAAAATTGGCAATATTTAAGATTTTGCCCAAATAAAATTGGTAGATGATTGCCTAAAGGGTAAATATGTTCACATACACCATGCAAAAAACAACACAAAACAAAAACCAGACAACGATATCTTACCACCCCTTTCGTTCTGAGAGCCCTCTCCATAGAGGATCTGTGCGTACTTTTCTCTCTATCAATTTTTTCCATAGTAGTCCATCTGCAATTACCCTGTGCCATTCTTTACAAACCAACTCCGCTTCTCGCAAGGATTTGGCATCTAAATATCCTAAGATTTTTTCTGCTACATGATCTAGACCCTTTTCTGAAATGATATAAATGAAAGAGGAGAGAGAACAGGAAGGAAGGTAAATATATAAGAAACAGTGAAGGGGGGGGGGGAGAGTGAGAGATGAGAGAGATAGAGATAGAGATAGAGATAGAGATAGAGAGAGAGATAGAGAGAGAGATAGAGAGAGAGAGAGAGAGAGAGAGAGAGAGAGAGAGAGAGAGAGAGAGAGAGAGAGAGAGAGAGAGAGAGAGAGAAATGAGAGAATTAATATCATTCTTCCATAATATCTGTTTATTATAACTACTTCATTCTTCAGTAATATCTGTTTATTATAATTACTATCAATTGAACATTTGACTTTCCTAATTTACTATTTGGACGGTTTTATCCTGTACTAAATGGAATAATCAATATTACAGGTACACAAATATCTGAGCAACAATAAAAATCTCTGATAACCACCAGCAACTTACTTGGCAAGAGCGTAATAAAATCTCTCTGGAGCATAGGCTTTAGGAAGGCGTTGATGTGTCCATGCTGGTAGTGGCACATTCTGGACAGGAGGTGCTCCATGAACTCCAATTGGTCCTGCTCGCTCCACTTCTCAAAATACTGTAGACACATCTCCCGCTCATTATTGTACTGAGCTGTGGACTCTTTCTTCCGCCGGCCCCCTCCCCCTCCCCCACACCCCCTGAACCTTGTGTCAGGGGTATGGTTGTCATGGGTTCTGACTCCTCATTGTCGCTGCCACCGTCACCACTCCGAATGCCAACACTTGTCGTGACACTCATGGGGGATATGTTGTTGTCGTAGATCACCGTCATGGGTGCCTGCAGAGAGAAAAGATACTTTATAAGTTAAACCCTCATATCATATTGCCAGCATTAGTACAAACTTAGACAATGTTAATAAGTAATGAATTATCAAAATACCTTTGTGGAATTCACACGCTAAAATTTTGTAAATAACGAATTCATTTCATCTCAGCCTCCGTTCATAAAATTAGACAAAATATATAGATCTATTTTAACAACAATCCAACAATAGCCAGCCAATTCTATAAGAAGTGGCTTTTTACCTTTTCCAGTGGGTAATCCATGTGAATGGCTCTAAATCCATTATGGGTTACTCAAAATGCAACTAGCTCAAAATTGTCAATCTTAACTATATTTTAATCATACTCTACACACTTACAAGACATTTAACAAGATATTAATGAACAGAGAGAAGGCAAATGGTTTGGAAATATTCTCTCAAGCAGCTAGGGTTGAAGTCTGAGATAATTTTTTAATCACATTTCTGACTAGTCGACCTCTACTACTTTTGTGGTTTAAAACAACGAAGCAACAGTTCCATCTTAGAATATGAACATTCTAACACAAAGCCATTTTCTGATTATATTAGTAACAGCAAGACCCTGTTCAGATAAGCGACTTTAGTGGCGTGACTGCCAGGTCAATGGAAGTGAATAGGAGCGCACACACATAGTGACTTGTGGCTGGCCTGTGGCACGACTCGACATCTCCCTCACAGTTGCTTGACTGCTCAGCCACTTGAGGTACAGGTGTTGCTATGCGGCCACACACACACAGCAACAGCCACTGTGTTTTCATGGTGATGGCACACCTCATTGGTTGGAGGGGGTGGGATTCCACCAGTGAGAGAGCATGTGGAGCGGAGGCAGACAGACAGGCGACGGTAGCTTCTGCTTCCCTCAGCCTGTTGTCCTGATTTGATGGACTTTCTCATGTAATTAAAGAACTTGGGTTCATGTTCTCATAACTTTGGATACAATGTGAAGAACATTCCATGGGTAAGTCTGTCATTTAAGATAAGATGAACCCAATAACATCAGTCTCCTCTTCCGCCCACTGCAAACGACGGTATAAAATCCATGCACATGCCACCTCTTCTATATCCATTACCAGCTGTGTATGATCAGCGACCAAAGAGATAAAAAAAACAATAGTGGGCGAGAGACGAGTAGGGCCAATATAAGTGCCGTATGCGAACATTCATTCAGTAGTCGCACTTCTAGCAGTTGGGCCACTAAAATCGCTTGTCTGAACAGGGCCTAAGACATGAAAGTAATCATGAAAGTAATATTGGTTGGTAAATTTGTTTAAGGCACGAATTGATATATAATTAGTCTACTGAACAAAAGGTGATAAATTGAATGAAGAGACTGGAATCTTCCTTCGCTAAGAAATAGGAAAAGCAAGTAGAAAAAAAACTGAGCAATTATACAAAGTGAAAAATTTGCAGTACTTTCCGAGCAAGAGATCCATTCATATCAAAGCATAGGTGAAGGTCTGTCTTCAAACACCGACTCTCCTTCTCTACAGGCTGATTCCCTCTCAAAATTCCCCTACAATACACCTCAAAAACAATTTGAAATTTCAAGAGAATACAATGGGTTTTTTACAAGAAATGAGAGCCACTTTAGCAATCAGTGTCATTTCTTAAAGACTGCTTTCATGTTGTTGTAGATGAGCATTTTGCAATAGTAGCAAAGGAGGAAATATCGGTATTAGATGCAGCAGAAATACATCTTTAATTGATATTCTTTCATCAGATGAGCAGAAACATTTCACGAAGACGAAAACGAAAGTGTAAAAGAATTATGAGAAGAAATCATCCTAAAAGAAACTTTATACAAAAGGAAGACTAGCACTGTCTGGGTAAACATATGCCTGTATCATCACTCTCACATGATTAGTCCATAAAAACAGCTGTTCTTTCTTCTCTTACTGTTTACATATTGCTTTTCTATTTTTTTTTTAACATTATTTTTTTCTCTTTGAGGGGAGGGGGCTGCTGGTAACTAGTTATGTGGCTTGTGTTCTCCCTAATTACAATGTATTTCTATTTAAATGCACCAACTGGTCTAATTCTGAATATGATTGGTTTTAAAAATGCTAATGTAGGTTTAAGGGGACTGTCCCTGGCAGAGGAGGGGGGGGGGGGTGATTTGGGGTTAGCTAGCCAAAGGAAATTACCAGATAACATAAGCGCCAACATGTAAACTACGTGTGCAGGTAATTAGCACCAGGTACACCTGTATGGACTGTTGCTTGTTGCAAACTTGCAAATGGCATTTGATTATGACATTCCACACAGATACAAGTTTGTGAATGTCCGAATAACACTTTTATACCAATATCAGAAAAATTAAAATGATCAATGGTTTATGATGAAATATTCTGTGAACTACTACTGTGAAGTTTTGTGTACATAATTTTGTCAACATAATTTTGGGAAATAAAATTCCTACGTGCATTGATCCTACATTTAACTGGTACCATTTACATGTTACTATTATTAAATACTAACAAGTAACACATGTTCAGTAACAAATACATTATTTAAAAAAGAACAAATAAGATGGGATAAAGACCTACTTTAATCTACAATGCATTACATCATGATATACATATTGATATAAATTCATTTATATTCCATTTGTTACAATTATTTTCCATTTGTTATTAATGGTGTGACAGGCGATCTGTTTCATTTTGCTCCTAAAATCAAAGAATGGCCGGTGTTATCATCCTGACAATGCGGTTTTGAACACGGGTCAGCAAGATTGCTAGACGAGACTACTATCACTGCAACAAACAGCACACATCAGTTACTGAAGGATTGTTGTACCAAATCACTAAGACTACATGTAAAACAAAGTTTACCATAAAATGAAAAATGTACACATTTGTGTACGTCAAGGTAGTTAAACAGAATCAGAGCTTCAACATATATTCTTTCAACGAAACAAATGTAGCCACAGAACTTACTAATTTATGAAACATTTCAAAAACTAAGTTGACTAGAATAAATGATCAGACATGGCATGCAAAATATTGTTGAAATTATATCATATGAACAGAGTATCACAACTGCTGAAAGCACAAGGGAAGATGTAACAAACAAAATTTCTGGCTTTAGACAATAGTCTATGGAGATCAGAACACTTTCTCATAAATATAAGGCTTGTAAAAGTCTAACATATGTTCAACTCATAAGAATGAAACAATAGTCAATTCCTTAAGATGAACTTCTGACAAAACAAATTTTCTATTACATTTCTCATTAAGCCTGCAACAGATACTAATAAAGATAATTAAAGTTGTATAAAGAAATAGCATCAAGAGCAAATGCACTCAGCATTTACAGAACTATTAGCTACTTTCTCCACTTCCACAATACACTAAATGTTTTATATCATGTACATGGAAAAAAATAATATATACATATATATAAATAAATGATAAATAAATAAATATATATATACATCAAACATTTCAAAGAAAACTAATTGGTATAGAATTACAGCAATTACAGATGTAGCAATAATCAACACTATGCAGATATTATGGGCACTTCTGCTGGGAGCAAGCCATGTGGGACACAGATGTTCAAAGTTTGGCATTGCTCGACACAGGTTTTGTGCAAAACCCTACCTCTAATGCATTTTTTTAAGCGTAAAAGTAAGAGTGAGAGTGAGAACAGGAGGAAGAGGGAAAAATGGGGGGGGGGGGAGTTGAGAGAGCACAGGAAAGGAAAGAGAGAGAGAGAGAAGAGAGAGAGAGAGAGAGAGAGAGAGAGAGAGAGAGAGAGAGAGAGAGAGAGAGAGAGAGAGAGAGAGAGAGAGAGAGAGAAATACATATATGGAAATATTTTCCTTCCTTCTTTTCAATGAAATAAACTTGTATGAAACTAGAAGAAAAGAAAAGAAAGAAAGAGAAAAAAGTTTGAAAGGCTGAGAGTCTTGACTGACTTTGCCTAGTATTTGTGGTATCTGTTCTCATTTCAGGTGCTTGTACATACCATTATTGTTTTTTTCTCCTCTTTCACTTTCTATGTTTAACAGACTTGGTGCTATGATTACATATGCTATGATTATTTACCTATAAATATAGTGTTACTTAAAATAATCTCTATGAATATTCATTTAATCTACTAATATTAACATAGTTCACTTAAAGCAAATATCTATATTTTAATCCAATTAAATGTAAGGGTTAGTTACACTATATACATTGGTGCCTCTCTAAAATTTGATGAAACATGAGTATGTCATTTATCAAAAACAACTACTCAGGTGTTCACTTGTGCATACAGCTACTAAAATAGATCTGGGTCGTACCCATTGGGTCCTTGAGCTAAAATATCACACCAGAGAGAGCAAACCAGGACAGTTCAATCAAACTTTCTTGTCTATGTTTTTCTGCTAAGACTTCTCATATCATTTTATTAACACAATCTTAATAGTTACTATCCATAGATCTAGACTGGTGAAGTGTCTGGCCCATCTCAACACTGGCGTGACTAACTTCACTGGAGATACTGCACAATAAAGGAAATTTGAAACTTTGCTGAAGAATAATTCTGATAAGTACTAACAGGAGAGAGAGAGAGAGAGAGAGAGAGAGAGAGAGAGAGAGAGAGAGAGAGAGAGAGAGAGAGAGAGAGAGAGAGAGAGAGAGAGAGAGAGGAGAGAGAGAGAGAGAGAGAGAGAGAGAGGGGGGGGGACAGAGGGAGAGAGAGGGGGAGGGGGACGAGAGAGAGAGGAGGGGGGCAGAGAGAGAGAGGGGGGAAGAGAGAGAGGGGGGGACAGAGGGAGAGAGAGAGAGAGAGGGGGGGCAGAGAGAGGAGAGAGGGGGGGGGCAGAGGGAGAGAGGGGGGGAGGGGGAAAGAGAGGGGGGCAGGGAGAGAGAGGGGGGGGCAGAGGAGAGAGAGAAAAAGAGAGAGAAAAGAGAGAGAGAGAGAAAGAGAGAGAAAAGAGAGAAAAGAGAGAGAGAGAAAGAGAGAGAGAGAGAGAGAAAAGAGA